GGGGAGAATTGTGTATAGCAGGTGCTTGGCCTGCGGGACAGGTCTAGCCCATAGCACCATGTCTGTTATCTGGCCAGTGGACCAGAAATCTGGCAGCAGGAATGATGGCACCACTCCCTGCTGCCAGATTTCCAGACTTATTAGAGACCATCGTCAAACTGAGGAATTGCCAACGACAACCACAGGAAATGTGATATTATGGAGAAAAAACCCTGGTGTATTGTTTTGCTCACGCACTCTTCTAAGGGTAGTAGCTGCTAAGGTCTAATTTTAGAGTCCTGTTTATTATAATGGAAAAGGAGCCAGGAAGCAGTTTTTTTAAAAGTGATTTAGGAATATAGGTTTCGTTGAAAATGAGAGACTTCAGGGTAAGTGCTTGCTGGCTTTAGAGCTGAAGTTTTCTTTTCAAAAGTGATGTCATTTCTTGAAAACTTTACCTTCCAGTTTTAGTTTCGGATATTAAGTTATCCAGGAATGAAGAAAATTGGTTTGTATTTCACTCATGTTCTGAAGTTCATTTAATTTCATAAGGAATATCATTCTGGATGTAGAATCTAAAAGATTCTATATGTTAACTTTGCTAGTTAGAAATTTACCCAAGGTTTTCACATATTTGCAGTGTGGACTCACAGCGGGGGTTAGGGTATATTGGGTTTTTATGGCCTGTTGTCATCAGAAAAATGTAGATAAAACCTTTACAGTGAAACTGGAAACAAACACATTCTCTTCCATATTCTATAAAGTTGATTTGAAAGCAGCTATTCCAAAAGTTCTAAGTAATGTGTTGAGTGCAGTCTATAGATGTGTTTGATTTTATTATTTACTTTCCATTATTTGACATGGGGGGTTGTCAACTGGGGGTATGTGTACTCCTGGGAGTACTGGGACCAGTCCTAGGGGGTACTTGTGGGCAGGCAGGGATGGAGTGCCGCCGCCTCCCAGGAACAGGGCAGTGGTGCCCCTCTGCGGGGTGGGGAAGCTTGCATGGGGCAGCCGCCCCGGCCACACACCAGCCCAGTGAGCTTCCCTGCCCTGGCCCGACTCCTGGGAGGTGACGGTGTGCTGTCCCCGCCTGCAGTCCTCACCTCTCTGCTCCGTGGCCAGCCATGCACTGCCCGCCTCAGCCCCCCACCCCCTGTTCGGCATCCAGCTTCTGGGGGTACTTAAACTAAAAAAGGTTGAAAACCCCTGATTTAACACCTTCAAGTTGCATCTGTTTGTGCTACTAAAAGTTTATGGAATATTTTTGGAAAATGGGATTGAGCCAAATACATTTTCAAATGTGGGAACCTAGGCCATTTTTACACTTTCTTTTGTCTAGTGACTGATTTTTGTCTCTTGTTGTAATTAATCTGTTCAGTTTCTCTCCGGATTATTTTATTTCTGTATTTTAGGTGTTGATCAATGTATCCAGAAATTTCTGGATGTTGCAAGACAAACTGAATGCTTTTTTCTACAAAAAAGACTGCAGCTCTCAGTTCAGAAACCAGAGCAAGTTATTAAGGAGGTAGGAAGTTACTGTCTTGATCTGTTTATTTCAGCTGCAACTTAACAAAGCATGTTTTGTTTTGTGATAGTACAGAAGAAACCAGTACTAACAGAATGTTTAATCTCCCCATCCACAGCCAGAGTAGATTTTTGTAATTTGTCCCCAAAGCCAGTTTAGAAATACAACATTGTCTTGCCACTATATAAAAAGGTTCATAAAAAGTGTAGCATTACAAATATGTACCACCGAACAGGATTCTTCTCCGAAGAGCCTAGAATCTAAAGATGTTTACTCAGTTCAAGAGTTTTTTCTCCATTCAACGTGGGAGGGGGAGAGGAGGGAGGCAAGCTCCTTGTCTCAGATTTGAGTACAAGCCAGAGGGAAGGAGGCTGCAGTTCCAAGGACAGGGTTGGAGTTGGAGCCACAGCTGATGCCATGCCCCTTCCCTTTCCCTGCAGACTTTGATCCCTGCAGCAGGGGAGCCTATGTGTGGGTGGGGCTGTAGCACAGGGTGGCAAGTTGGGGGGGGGGGCAGGTTCTTGTGCGTGCGGGCACAGTAGGGAGGGGTAAGTGTCAGGGGTGTAGGGAAAGGGGAAGCAAGGGGGCCTGGGGGCAGGTGGGAGGAGTCCATGCAGACACTGGAAGGGGGTGGGGTGGGGAGCAGGTAGCTGAGAGGACATGTGGCAAGGGGTAGGTGTCAGGCCACTTGATTCCCTTGCTGCCTGCCCCCTTGCTGATGACAGCACTGCTGTGATATGGGGGGGATGTGAATTTAAGACAACCCTCCAAAAATTAGATTCTAGACATAGAAAATTATAACAGATCAAAACCCATTTATAAATTTTTCTGTGAAGGAACAGTTAAATCTGGATAATGCACAAAGGGTTTTGTTTCCCTTTCTAATTTCTCAGAAATCATTTTATTGGTGAATGGGAAAGAAACTGATACTCTAGCAGGAGGTTGAATGGAAATAGCTAACATGTACTTTCCCATCTATTAAGCATTTCTGTGTTTAGTCTGGGAACTGTCCAAAACGTAAGGGTTTTATTAGGCATTCTACTATTAGGTATCTACAGATGTCCTTACAGCCCTCCTTCAGGCACCCAAGGTCTTATTGATGACCATTGTACCTGTTGCTGGCTTTCTGGCCTTTATGCTTCCAACATGTGTGTGTGGTGACACTCGCGTTGTCATCGTCATCATCAGGCATTCCACTAGGGTTTTGTTTTAATACACAATTTGTGCAATGAAGATCTTTGTAATTTACTAATATATTTTATCACCTGTAGGATGTATCAGAATTGAGGAATGAATTACAGAGGAAAGAAGCACTAATTCAGAAGCATTTGGGTAAACTGCGTCACTGGCAACAGGTTCTAGAAGACATCAATGTGCAACACAAAAAGCCTGCAGAAATGCCTCAAGGACCATTAGCCTACCTGGAACAAGCTTCTGCTAATATTCCTGCACCCATGAAACAGACATGATTAAGGAAAATGTCAGAGTCTTTGAGCAGTATTTTAACTTAAAGCAAAATGGTATTGATCGTTTTTTTTTATTTGATACATGCATAATGTATTTTATATTATAAATATAAATAGTATTTGTTCCATTGTGACAGTGGGACAAAGAAGTAAGTGTAAAATAAATTTAATCCTTTCCACAAACCATGGACTGGTTCTACATTCAAACTGAACAGAAACTCCTTAAATGTCTTATCCATGTGCTATTGTGGCTTGGTCCCTATTGCTGCTTTCTTACCTACTGATTCCTGCAGCCACTGACTTGCTTCTGATGCACTTGCAGTCTGGCTGCTGAGTCCTGTCCTGTCCTGTCCTATTTGGGAGGGAGGGAGGGAGGGGGCAGGTGCTGCCCAGGAGGATGGGGGCTTGGGATGGAGGCACAGCTGTCAAGGGTGGGAGCAGCATTCACCACTGCTTGCACCCTGGGGGAGCATGGGGGTGGGGGTGCCCCCCGGATCTGCATGGGGTGGACAGGGCAGGGGCTAGAGCCAGCACTGTGTGGGACTCTTCTTGGTGGGGACTGGGCTGCCCCCTCCCCCCAGAACTGGGGGGGCACACCCCCCACACCCTACTGGGGTGCAAACAGTGGCAGGAATGGCCTCCTCTCCATGAGCCTTGCCTCCATCCCATGCCCCTGCCCTCCTGGGCAGCACCTGCCCCTACCCCATCCCTCCCTCACTGTGGGGGCCTTGATCTGCCCCCCTCCCACACCCCCCTCTGCTTCCAACTTACCAACTGGAGGCAGCTCTCCACACTGCTGGCTCTGCTCCATGCTGTGCTGTGGGCATGGGCCTTTACTGGCCAAATTATTGGCCCCATCTGGCTGATATCCAATACAGCAATTTTTTTTTTATATCAGTACCGATCTAATATTGGACCAATATATCAGTGCGCCTCTATTTTTGAGACATTTAAATTTCTTTTCTTTGTGTAGACATGGCCAAAAAAGACGAGATAGACCAGTTGACCCATCTGGTTAACGACCTAGCAACTGATCCTTTTCAACTCTGGGAAGACCATCCTAATAGAAAAAGATGCAGCTATAGTTAGTGTTTCCTAACCTCTCTCTCCTCCAGAAGTGTAATCCCTGGCACTTTTTTTTTTCTGTTGACTGCTTGTTTTTCTCCTGAAGCTATAATTAAAAGGAAGTGGGTGATGACCTGGGAGCTCCCCTTGTTACTTTCCTCATCAAAGTATCTTTAACTGGAATGCCTTAACATTGATGTGCATTAACTTCAGGCTTGCTTGGAAAAGGGTATTTTGTGCCAGAAATTTAGCTAAAACTCCCTCCCAACTTTATAGTTGGACACTAAAAGTTTTTACTGAATAAGTTCTGCTTTTTGCATAGTCGATGGAGCATCATAGCTATAATGCCACAATATATCCAAGTAGTAGCAGATAAATAATTTGCATAGGAAACCTATGACTGATGGAGAATATTACAATGGAGAATATAATTTTGCATATTGTGTAAAGGCAAAATTAAAATATTCATAATTATTCACCTACCTTTTCCATCAAAGACCCTCCTCTAAGTGAGACATAGGCATGACAAAGTGTTTAGGTTATCACTTGTATATAGAGATCCTTCTCGGTATTACTTCCTGCATGTCACTTGATTACCTTGATCATGGTTATACATGTAGTAAATAGATTTCATGTAATTTTCTTCATTAACTAACAAACTATTCCAAAATGATATCTTAGAGTCCCTTTCAGAACTAAACTACTTGTCCCCAAAAATCAGTGGGTTGACAGTGATGGACAATGCAAGACTTAGGTGCTGATCATCTCAGTAGTAAGACTTTCAGCTCTAGAATTCTCTGATTCTTGAGATTATGAGCAGACAAAGCCATGACAACTTTAGGGATGGCATACTTTAAGATACATTTATTTATGTAAGCCTTCCTTCAAAATCATCTTTCCTGACAATCAGTTAAAAACAACCATGCTTAAGAAAGCAGTGTGAGGTCTTGAGAATTTGCTCCTCCTCTCTGCTTAGATGAGCAGAAAGAAAATACACCAATGGAATGTGTGCATGCATAATGATCACAGATTTGAAACTATGAATTGTGCGGTATTTTTCAAAGTTCTATACAATATAAATAGTATAAAAACAGGAACATTTGGTCTATAAGCAAGTTTCAATGATCAAAGTTGAATTTTATGCGGAGTCTACCAGAGTGATCTTTAAATATGTTTATTGAAAACTACATGAATAGTATCTGGTAATGGTCAGACTATACAAAAGCAATTTCCTGACTCTAAGTATCTGAATAATCTAAGGCCAGATTCTGTTCTACACCTTGGGTGCATAAGTGCAATTCTACTCCACCCTGCTCAAATCCCTGAAAACCAAGTAATGTCCTCCTCACTGTTTTTGAGACTCAGTTTTAAGGGTATGACAATATTTTACAAAAGTAGATGCACTAGTGAATTTTCAGGTACTTGAACTGGCTGGAGGGCTGCACCCAGAGAGTGGTAGTGGATGGGTTGTTGTTGACCTGGAGAGGTGTGGGCAGTGGGGTTCTGCAGAGCTTGGTCCTCGGGCCCGCACTGTTCAACATCTTCATCAGTGACTTGGATGAGGGGGTAAAAAGCACCCAGTTCAAATTGGCTGACGACACTAAGATGTGGGGGGAAGTGGGCATGCTAGAAGGAAGGAATAGGTTACAATTGGACCTAGACAGGTTACAGGGGTGAGCAGACAAGAATAGGATGGGATTCAACACTGACAAGTGCAAGGTGACACACCTAGGGAGGAAGAACCAGCACCATACCTACAGGCTGGGGAACTCCCTTCTCATCAGTGCAGAGGCAGAAAAGGATCTTGGAGTCGTCATTGATGCTAAGATGAACATGGGCCGGCAGTGTGGGGATGCAGTCAGGAAGGCCAGCCTTACCCTGTCATGCATCTCGAGCAGGTCCAGGGAGGTGATCCTCTCCCTCTGTGCAGCACTGGTCGGGCCGCAGCTGGAGTACTGCAGCCAGTTCTGGGCGCTGCACTTCAAGAGGGATGTGGACAACATGGAGAGGGTCCAAAGGAGGGCCACTCACATGATCAGGGGGCAGCAGGGCAGGCCCTACAAGGAGAGGCTACAGGACCTGAACTTGTTCAGCCTCCACAAGAGAAGGCTGAGGGGGGATCTAGTGGCCTGTTACAAACTAGTCAGAGGGGACCAGCAGGCACTGGGGGAGTCCCTGTTCCCCTGACCACTACCAAGAGTGACTAGAAATAATGGTCACAAGCTGGCAGAGGGTAAATTCAGATTAGACATCAGGAGGCGCTACTTCACTGTTAGGGTGGCTACGATCTGGAACCAACCTGCAAGAGAAGTGGTGCTGGCTCCTACCCTGGGGGTCTTTAAGAGGATGCGAGACAATCACCTTGCTGGGGTCGTTTGACCCCAGTACTCTTTCCTGCCATGGCAGGGGGTCAGACTTGATGATCTGCTCAGGTCCCTTCCAACCCTACTAACTATGAAACTATGAACCAGGTTGAATAAAATCATACTTAGGCACCAAATTCCACTTAGATTTGTACTAGGTGCAACAGAATCTGGCCACTAGTCCTAAGTTCCCTTTTACACATACACCATCCCAGGAGGTATGCCACTATGCAATATAAAATTTAACAAAAACTACCAGATTAAACAAACACTCTCTAAAAATAGCATTCAAATACATTGATATGATTTAGCAGCCCAAGAAAGGGAGAAAATGGGTAGAGGAGATAATAAATATGAAACCAAGTGTGACTATACTGAAAAATTCTGTAAAGTTATAAGGTGTTCTTTTAAAAAGGAGCCAAACCAACAGGGCCATGAGGCACCAAGAAACAAATTCAGTACTCAAAAGTAGCTGCACAAGAGATACATTCTTACCTTGATATGGAAGACTTTCTGTTTAACATGGGTACTGGATTGACTGTATACTTACCTATAATCTTTCGTCCAACTCCCATGTTTCGGGAGTTATTTATTATCACATGTATATCTGAGACCCATGTGTATAATCCCATAGTCAAAAACAGTAAATTCCTACGAAGGTCTGTGCAAATTACACAGATATATTTTTCAGATCAGTTTACTGGGCAAACATTTCTCAAGAGTGAAATCATCTGATCTCATAATTTGGAGTACTATGGAAATGGTTGTTTTTTAAAATGAGAAGTATTTAGTAAACCATTCCTGATGCCGAGGGTCTTGTTTCTTGTCATCTATAAATTTTGATGCTTCATTGTCTTGTTTCCTGTACAAAAAGATAAATGGCAGTATTCTTTGAATTCTTACCAATACTTAATCCACATTTCTTTTTCCATAAGAACTTGGCATGGCATGGGAGGAGTTGTTCTTACATGAGTCAGAAGAGGCAAGAAGATGCCAACTACAGCCCTCAAATGATCAGTGAAGCCCAATTTTGGCCCCTGAAAATCCAACCTCAACTTATACACTGTACCACCTTCCCCTGCAAATGGCGCTGGGCTTGGCATAGCCCAGGCAGTGCAGGTCACCAGCCGAGCGGCACTGTCATGCCAGTGGGCCACGCCAGCCAAGCACTGAGCCCAGACAGGGCTGGGCTTAGGGCTTGGCTGGTGCAGCCCCATCCCCTGCGAGCAGTGCTGCCTGGGCCGCACCAGCACCACTCAGGGTATAGGGCCACACCAGCTGAGCCTGCCCTGTCGGCTGCAAGTGACACTACTAAGTGCTGAGCCAGCCCTGTCAACTGTACCGCTCACAGCAGACAGGGCTGGGCTCGGCACTCGGTTGGCACAGCCCCATACTCTGAAAGCGCATCCCCTCTGCAGGGGATGGGGCCATGTTAGCTGAGTACCAAGCCCAGCTCCATTCCCATCCTCTGCATGTGGTGTGTCCCAAGCCAAGTGCTGAGCCCAGCACCACTCACAGGGGACAGGGACAGGGCTGAGCTCAGTGCTCAGCTGGGGATGTGCTACCCACAGGGGACGGGGCAAGGCTGGGTGCTTGGCTGGTGTGGCCCCAACCCCTGCAAGCAGCGCCAGGCTCACAGGGGATGCGGCTGCACCAGCCAAACATTGAGCCCAGCCCTGTCTGCTGTGAGCGGCAGTGCTGAGCTCTGAGCCCAATGCCATTCACAAGGGATGGGGCTGGGCTTGGTGCTCAGCAGCACTGCTCTCAGTGAACAGCGCCGGGCTTGGTGCTTGGCTGGTGCAGCCCAGGCAGTGCTGCTCGCAGGGGATGGGGCTGTGCCAGCCAAGCACCAAGCCCAGCTCCGACTTACACACTGTGCCTATGAAAATCCTAATTTTCCTAACTTTTAAACCAAGGTTGACCTATACATTGTGTTGATCTGTACACTGTGAAATATGGTACTAATGTATTTTCATTTGTTCTTGTTAGTGATGCAGGTAAGTGAGAGTTGGTAAGGTGGAGCTGTTTTCATATTTAATTCTATAAAAATAGGTCCAGGATGATTGGGAAAGGGCAAATCTAGTGCCCATCTTTAAGAAAGGGAAAAAGGAAGATCCAGGGAATTATGGACCAGTCAGCCTCACCTCAGTCCCTGGAAAAATTATGGAGCAGGTCCTCAAGGAATCCACTGTTAACCACTTGTGGATTCATCAAGGGCAGATCATGCCTGACCAGCCTGATTGCCTTCTATGATGAGATGACTGGCTCTGTGGATGTAGGGAAATCAGTGCATGTGATCTACCTTGACTTTAGCAAGGCTTTTCATATAGTCTCCCACAGCATTCTTGCAAGCAACTATGGGCTGGATGAATGGACTATAAGGTGGATAAAAAACTGTTTAGATCAGCAGAGGGTAATAGTCAATGGCTCAATGTCTAGTTGGCAGCCAGGATGAAGTGGAGTGCCCCAGGGTTTGGTCCTGGGGCTGGTTTTATACAATATCTTCATTAAGGAGCTGGAAGTTGGGATGGATTGCATCCTCAGCAAGTTCACAGATGACACCAAGCTGGGAGAGTACACGTATGCTGGAGCGTAGGGCTAGGATTCAGAGTGACCTAGACAAATTGGAGGATTGGGCCAAAAAAAATCTCATGAGGTTCAATAAGGACAAGTGCAAAGTCCTGCACTTAGGACGGAACAATCCCATGCACTGCTAGAGGCATGGTACCAACTGGCTAAGCAGTAGCTCTGCAGAAAAAGACCTGGGGGTTACAGTGGACAATAAGCTGAATATAGGTTAACAGTGTTGCAAAAAAGGCTAAAGGCATACTGGGTTGCATTAGTAGGAGCACTGCCAGCATATTGAAGTGATTCTTCCCCTCTATTTGACACTGGTGAAGCTACACCTGGAGTACTGTGTCCAGTTTTGGGCCCCCCACTACAGAAAGGTTGTGGAAGTATTGGAGAGAGTTCAGCGGATGACAACAAAAATAGTTTGGGGGCTGGAGCACATGACTTATGAGCAGGGCTCCGGGTTTTCCATTTCCCACAGAAAAACGGAGAAAATGCGGATTTTCCTTTTTAGCAGAGAAATCCGCAGATTCTCTGCTTTTGCAAAGAGCTCTTGCAGGCTGGCACAGCCCCAGCCTGCAAGAGCCAATTGCAGAAAGGGTGGGAAAACCCCAGCCCTGCCTGGAGGGGGAGGTAGAGTGGGGGAGGGCAGGGCCTGAGCATCTGAGGCAGCCAACGCTGGGCTCAGGCTCAGACTCGTCCTTCACCCCTGGATCCTAGAGGTAAGTGGGGCTTGGGGGCTGTGAGGCAGGGCTGGGGAAGATGGTTGGGGGCAGAGAGAGTGGGGCATGCTGCCGGCCCCAGGCAGCATATCGCAGCTGGGAGCAGAGCCATGGGTTGAGGGCAGGGGTGTCCCTCTGTGGGGGGCTTTGCTGGCAAGCAATGTGGGGCACAGTGTGGAGGTGCCCGCCGTGAGCGGGTAGCGCACATGCCGCCTGGCTGCCTGCCCAGGGGAGGGACAGGAAGGCTTGCATGCGGCTGGAGCACAGCTCTGTGGCCAGCTCTGCAGCCACGGTGAGGGATGGTGGCGAGGGGGGAGTGGGGGCTCACATACGGCAGCCACTGCCACTTACCTGAAGGGCTGTGCCAGTGGTGACAGGCGCTGCCTACAAAACCTCCTGTTGCCACCATGGAGCCATGCCCAGAGCTGTGCGGCCAGGCGGCAGCGGCAGTGTGGTGGTGGCGGGGCAGCACGCAGCCATCCCTACCACCATCCTGCGCTGTGCTGCTGCTGCCAACCGCACAGCTCCAAGCATGGCTCTGCGGCAGGGAGCTGTGGGGGACCTTTAATTTTCATCATGGATTTTGGGTTTTTAATCAGAAAATTTGCAATTTTTAATCGGAGAAAACCAGAATCCCTGCTTATGAGGAGAGGCTGAGGGAACTAGACTTATTTAGTCTGGAGAAGAGAAGACTGAGGGGGGAGGTGATAGCAGCCTTCAACTACCTGAAGGGGGGTTCCCAAGAGGATGGAGCTGGACTGTTCTCAGTGGTGACAGATGACAGAACAAGGAGCAATGGTTTCAAGTTACAGCAAGGGGAGTTTAGGCTCGATCTTAGGAAAAACTCTCTCATTAGGACAGTGGTGAAGCACTGAAACAGCTTACCTAGAGAGGTGGGGGAATCTCCATCCTTGGAAGTTTTTAAGACCCAGCTCAACAAAACCCTGGTTAGGATGATGTAGTTGGGGATGGTCATCCTTTGAGCAGGGGGTTGGATTAGATGACCTCTTGAGGTCCCTTTCAACCCACATTTTCTATGATTCTATATAAATTAACTAATCAATAAATAAATATAGATGGTAATCTCTAGGCAGACCTAAATGTCTACTGCTTACACAGATATGATTGTGTTATTAGTTTAAGTAACATTTAGAAAACACATACATCTAAAAATGACATTAAATTTTAACTTTTCAGAAAAAAATGAGTGCTAGGCCAGACAGTTTTAATGTTCACAGACAGGAATAAAGTCCTAATACAGGCAGTATCAGAGGAGAACTGAGCATCTGCCAGATCAGCATTTTGAGATCTCCATATTCATTTGCCAAATTACCCTCCTAGCCTCAGTCAGGTCTCTCCTAAAAATACACTTTTGCTAAATATGGGAAAATAAATAAAATGCACTTGTAATTATTCAGCTAATTCTGGCCTTGAGGCCAGTCTGCCTCACTGAAGCCAGACCTCACCTGTTGCTGGCAGCCATATAAGAGAAGTTGAGTCTTAATGAATAACAACATGATTTTATTTACATTCATTCAGTCTTTTATGACCATTGCTTGTGCCATGTTGAACTGCAGTCATAAGCCCTTCCAGGCAGAAACAATGGCTGATATCCTGCAATGAGCTCAAGGTGAGGGCAAGTGTTTGGAAATACAGACTTTACTGCAGAATCGGAGCCAATGTTTTTGGCTTTGGCACATTTTTCAGTGCCTGAAGAACTCTGAATATGAAATCATAACCTTCAAGCCACTAAAATATGTATGTTTATTGTTTACCTTGTGGCTGTGCTAGAGTCCGAGGACTGTGTTGACTGATAGCAGGCCCTGATGCAGCTGGGACTCTGGTCTAGGCTTGTAGATTTTGTTATTTGAGGAGAACTCCTCTTTGATCTCAAGTCACAACTCAGAAAGCTCTTTGCGTAGGAGGCTAAATTCGGCACACTGACAACACGGCTGGGCACATCATCCAGTTTCTTCTTCTGTTTTTATTATGAGAAGATAAATTAACCCTTTCTTCTTCCACGTGGATGATACAAGTTCTAGATAATGGGCTTATTGGAAGAAAGTATTGGGCAAATTCCATGATATTGGTGAGTGTTGATTCTATTCTGGGCATACAAAGAGGGAGTTCCTAAAATATGTGGCCACAGCAAATTCTGTCTATAACATTTAAAATGAAGTCATTCTTGCAGGTTTAGCTAGAACTGCTGTAGGGCCCTGGGTCAAAGCAGAGGTGTCAAATGCAAGCAGTGAGTTTACTTAACTTTAAAGTTGCAATAGCATCACATATCTGACAGAGATCCCCAGATCTGATTGCACTAACTGGGGATGCCTCCTGCAGCTCTGCCAGGTGCACACACGGTTTGGCATAGAGCCTTGCTTTTGCTACAGGTCCTACTGGCAATCCTCAGTACACACAACCATTTGTTTGCAGTCACTCCTGGTCTAGAGCCAGGATAACTGCCATGTAGTCTGTTTTGACTAAATAACATGTTGGGTTAGAGTATGTTTGCACTATCAACTGCAGGATGGTATATAGATACTTTAGCTGGCTCTAAACAAGCTGGCTCAGATAGCAGCAGTCAAGTCACAAGGACACTGACCTCTGTATGAGTTAACTTAGCTCCATGCTCCTGCAGATAGATTCCTAATCAATATGCAGGTATGGGCTACACTAAAAAACTTTGCCAGCATAGTTACATCAAGGCAGAATAAAAGATTGTACTCTGCCTACCCAACATAGCTGTGCCCCACACCTCTCCCCTTCCCTAAATTTGAGCTCAGTTGTGCTGACAGAAGAGGGCATCTTCCAGTTTAAGCTCCATCATTAGGGGAAGTGCTATAGCAATGCCAGCAGAAAATACCTTTTGCTAAAATATCTCATGTTTTCAATAAGGAGCTCTACCACTATTGCTACAACAGCGCAGCTATAGAGATCACCCTACTGCCAGCTGCCATAGGGATGCACAAAGCTGCCAAGGAGCTGTGTGGATGTGAACATGCTCTAGCAGCCTCCCTGTTGTGGATGCTGTCTGTTAAGAGAAGTTCTGGTGGCAGAAGCAGCCTCATGAAGATAAAATGTCCCTGTCCTCTAGGTCTTGCTCTTCTGTCCTCCGCCAACATCTCTTACTTCTGGCCACGCCAGCAGCTAAATATGGAAGTGCTGCAAAGCCTAAGGAGACTGAGAATACATGCTATGCAGCCCAGACAAGGATTTTTTACTTAGCTTATCTGTCTGCATTAAGTGATATAAATTGGCCAGCTCTTAGGTCTATGCAAGAAATTATTCTTACTCCTGCAAAAGGTCATATACATATTTGTGAGCAGCCTATCTTATACCTACATAAATACACATATTTTGAACTGATACTATCCTCATCTGCCAGTTTTGGGTTAGTTTACAGGATGAAATATTACACTTTTACTGAAAACCAGCAGTACCATTACTTTTAATCATAGGATAAACTGGCTGAACTTCTCAAAAATAAAAATTAAGCGTAATCTCTGTTCATTTACACATTGTATGTTCACCTTATCCATCATCTCTCAATATCCTAGTGACAGTAAAACATGATTTCCAGTTTTAATTGAACTACTTGTCTTACCTTCATGGAAGGAGTTAAACATCCAGGACTAGGATTGAAAGAAAAGGATCTATTCCGGTAAACTTCAGTGGTGGGTAAAAGTGAATGATGAAATTTTCTTCCTTCCTGAAGGGAATAAATTATGTGTGCCCATCACATAGTATTCAGAGTAGTGAGAAAACAACTGCCTGAAAAGGTGTGTGAAATGTGGATAGAGCCTTGCTATATAAATCAAAATGGTTAAGCATGAGTACAGATTAAATGCTGGGTCTTGGCATATGAAGAGGTTCTACTGAAAGATGGAAAGTGTTCTTTCAATATTTTTAAGCAGATTCACGCTAGCAGGATAACATATACAGTAAAGAAACAACATTTTTCTCTTCATGCTTCAATTCATTAATGCCCTAGGCTAGGAGCATCAAATAAGTGGCCTCATTCCTCTGAAAAGGTATTGTAAAAATGGGCTGGAGTGTAATCAAAATACTGTATGAACAAATTTGCCAGTAATATTATGCTGGATTAATTAAGGGCTGGTTCAATCAAGTTCTGAAAATCAGCACACACATTATGATATATACGTGCCAAGGAAAACTCACCATCAGGTGTCTGATAATCTCCTCCCTCTCACTTAATTTATCTTGCAAGCAACTTATAAGTTGCATATCTTCTTGCCTGGACTCCCGTTTTCTTGACTTTTCCTCTAATTCTTTAAGTCTGTGCCAAGTAAAAAAATGCAAACACTTAAATCTAAGTCAAGAAAACTCTTTCAAGGCATAAGAGTTTAGCTTAGGTTTCTCTCGCTCTGTCCCATCATGGATTCCTTGCTTAACATACACGAAAATAATTCAGGCATCTTTTGTCAAAACTGTCATTTAAAAAGGGTGATATGGTAAAGCTAGTGCCCATGTTATTTATACACACAATATCCTCTATCTACTGGGTGGGTCCAGCCCATCATACAAACTATTGTAAACAAGACTGTGCATGAACCAGAGTTTGTGCCAAAAGATCTCCATGCATGAATGAAGCCATGAGCTAAAATTTTATGAGATTGAGTTGTAATCCAGAGAAGCATCCTGTAGACTGTAGGTTATGTATTCTTTTGCTTTACCTGAACATTTTTAGGAGAGAGAAGACCTCTCCAGCTTCAGCATTCAGAGAAAATATAAGAAATGGGCAAATGACTTGTGACCTTCCCACCTGCAGTTGTCCCTCTTTCTTGGGGTCAAGCTGCCACGGATGTGATACGTGAATGCAGTTGACTAGAGAGGGGAAGCACTTGAGACACAGGGTTCTCTGTAGGACTCTCAGCTTTGAAACCTACTTCCCACATTGAACTGAAGTAGCCCAGAGCTGTTGCTTTCCAGGACATGTTACGAGACGTATCCATTTGCTTGGGCTTTTATAAACAGTGGGATTTGATGGAGGTTGAAGTTGATCGGGGATGAGAAATTCTTTGGGTTCTAGGAGTCAAGTGTTGTTGGCTCTTGTGGGCTTAGATAACAGTTATCTGGGCTGTTCTTGTACTTACGTCAAGGACACCTATTGCTTCAGATAGGTGCCTTTTTAACTAAGATCATTAGTAATTAATAAACTTTTATTTAAAGATCTTATTGTGTTTTATAAAGGTATATTATTTCTCACTGTAAAGTGGCATAACTAAGGCACTATGTCAAAGACTCATTCTAGTATCTTACAGTGATCCAGAACTGCAATGACTTAGGCCCCTGAACCTAACCACTTGACCATGCCTTTTCACGCTATGGTCTCTCCCCTGAAAACGCATACAAATATGTTTAACTACAAGAGGACTACTTGTACCAGTAAAGTTAAGCACATGTACAAATGCAGGATTAAGATTTCTGGGATTATCTGATGAGGAAAATGATTTTACAGTTAGTAAAAATAAAGAAGTACATTAATACAATAGTGCACAATGAAATTTACCATACAGATATTATCTTTTTATACATAACATAATATCTATAGCTTTACACTGATCAATATGTATGTGTTATGAGTTTTTCTATGCATCTTTTTAGTTACATGGAGAACAGTTATGCAACACATTATTATTCTAGTAATTAAAATATATTGTAACAAAAATAATAATTTAAAGAAATATTTATCACCAAAATAGGTGTACTATCCTTCCAGTAGATTATTTAAATGACTTACTCTGTTTCTAGCGAAACATTCTTTGCTTGGAGATGGGCCTGAGCACTGCTGAAATCAGACACCATGTTCTGGATTTCCTTGCAATGATCTTGTTTCAAGACATCCAGTTCTTTTTTATGCTTGCCTTTGAGGTCATCTTCCAGCAGCCTTTCAAATGGTATTAAAACATTACTTAAGTCTCAGGTGCTTTAACTTTCATTACTGAGTTAGTGATAGATAAATACTACTAAGGTACTACTATTCAAAGTGACTGGGGAGGTAGTTAAATCAGTGCAGCCCTTGGCCAGAACCCACTCCTATGAAGCGTAGGCTGGAACTGAAAATTGAATCTAGCTGAATGGGATTTCCAGTGAATGGGTGCAGCAAGCTATTCTGGGAGAAGGGAATGATCCTTCGCTCTTTGGACTGGAGGATTCTAAGCATCAGCCCTATTGTGTTTTTTTTTCAAAGAGAGGTCTCAAGCTATATGCTGCTCCCAGCACTGTGGCTGCAGAAGAAACCACAAGCAACAGTAAATTTTGACACCCTGTATTGTAAGATGCCTGAAATTTTAAAATGAAGCTCTTTAATACTGTATTTAAGCTGACCATGGCCTTACACTTGGTTTAACATCTAGATTAATACTGTAAATGTCACAAAGGCTGTAAAGGAGCCTTTTGGGTGTGACTAACTTGCACACTATACTTCCAAGTGTTGCCATCTGGAAGACACAGCTAATTATAAGGTCATATTTTACAGTGATCCATAACACTGTATTATTGTTTTCTGAAGCCAAACGTGACTGAAAGCCACAACAGTCATCATTACTCTAAGCTTCCAAATGAGAAACAACCATTGAGTAAAATATAAGGGTAAGTCAGTAACTTTAAATGAATTCTATCAAAGTTGACACATGCACACAAAGCAAAGGTCATACAACTTAGTTTTATAATACTCTTCCCCTGACCTAAACACATTCTGGGATCTGGCAAGGAACTGACATGAAATCACTGGTTTTAGGATCAGTGACTACTTGACTCATTCACTCTTGCTCTTTTGACTACTCCCTACATCATTTTACCTGATAAAGGTAATTCTGGCTCATAATTTGGTTCCCCCCACCTAATTTTGGCCCATAGTTGTCAAGCTTGCTGAATGCTTTGAGATTTTGGGGATAATGAGAACTCTCTAAGCATCACTCTTGTGTGGAGAGACTGAGATTAGGGACAGACATTACACATAACCTGGTTTTAAGTGATCAGAAATTGGTTTAAACCTGTAACAGAACAGACATTCAGTGCACATAATCCAGTTTCAAAATGGCCCAAACTGGTTTGAGATAAAACTGGTTGAATGTAGTACCAGACTTAACAGATTTGGCTCAAAGTGGTTTATGCAATGTCTGTCCCAGACCCTCTTCTAGTTTAAGATAAACCAGACTCCCCCAGCATCCCAGCATGCTCTCTGGGCTGGGCTCTCTGCTCCGGCCCCACGCCTCTGCTCTCTAGCCAGAGCAGGGACCAGCCCTAGTAGAGACTCTGGCTGGCATGGCCCCGTTAAGGCAAAGTGGGTGGGGAGAGGGTTAATTCTTCCCTCCTTCCTCTCTCCCCCCATGGCAGCCGAGGGTCAGCCTGTCTGCCAGGAAGCAGAGGGGAGGGGGCTGCAGTAGTGGGCCCTGGAGCTCACAGATCCCAGCTGCAGTAAAGGGATGGAAGGAGAAATGAACCCTTCTCCCTGCCCCCTTCACCTTAATGGGGCCATGCTGGGTTGGCTGTCCTGCAGGGTGGGAAGGCGGGCTCTGTGAGGTGTTGGATGGGGACCCTGGCAAACAGGGCCAGGGTGCTTTCCACATCTTCATTTAAATCATTGATAAAGATGTTGAACAGCATGGGGCCAAGAACCAAACCCTGCAGGACACTAGGGCTGTGTGAAACAGCAGCGTTCCGCTTCCACATCCGTTTCGAAGGAACAGCATTCCATTCGAGTTTTGTTTCATTTCAAAAGCACTGTTCCATTCTGTTTTGTCAAAATAGTTTCACTGTTTTGACAGTGTTTCCACGTTTTGACTGGGCCTGGGAAGGGAACTCCCCAGGACGGGAACTTCCCAGCTGAGTTCCCCTCCGCAATGCTGTGATTTGGCTGGGAAGCTCAGCCCGGCAGAGCTCCCCTCCGCAGTGCTGTGATCGGGCTGCAGAACTCAGCCAGGCTAAGTTCTTCCCCAGCACTACGATCAGGCTGGGGAAAGGAACTCAGCCCAGCTGAGTTCCCTAGCACTGCAATTGGCTTCCCACAGCCCCACGGAGCTCAGCCTGGTGGTGGGAGGTGGAATACAGCACAAACAAAACAGCCAGTGAAATTTCACACAGCTCTATAGGACATCACCTAGTTTTCCTGCTTAGTGCAGGGGGGCTGGACCCGATGATCTTGTGAAATGCCTTCCAACTCCTAACAATCTATAAATCTATGAATCTACCACTGGCCACCTCCTGCCAAGACAATACAGACCTGTCTACTAACACTCTCTGGGTTCGACCTCTTAGCCAGTTCCCAAACCACCTGACTGTGGAATCATTGTGGAGCACTTCAAATTTAGTGCACTTCAGCACAGTGCAGACATACAGGAGGATTCCCAGAGTGATTCGAAATAGCCAAAAAGGCATTCAGTGACATTATGCTCCAGCCAGGAGATTGGAGAGCACAAAACTCTTCATCTCTCAATCTCCAGTCTCTGGAGGTTCCCAAGGACACCTGAGTGCATAGAAGAGTGCTCACTGGCAGCCCTCCCTGCTTCCCCCACCTCCTCTTCAAGTGATGGTAGAGGGAGAGTGGAGCATTATGGATGCTGGAGAACTGCTGGAACAAACATCTGTTTCAGGAAGTGCTTCAAAAGGAAGTGATTCCAATATGTTCCTCATACTTTGCGGATTAATCCTGATGTACTTAAGCCGTTTTTTAAGTGCTTCTTTGGCCATGCTCATCTATACCCTCATGGTCTGGAGCACTCCAAAAGTACCTGGAGCATTCCAAACATCACATCTGTGCATGGCCAAAGCGATTCAAGTTCTTGCTTCTAAACTATACTGAACAGGCTTTCAAAGGTGGTACCCCTGGATATGATACCCACAGATCCTTTTATGCATACAAATTAAGGGGATTACACACACAATCTTTTATCAGTGTGGAAGCACTTAAGAACATGCTCATGTAACTCTGAGTCCTTCTAACTTTCCACACAGAGTGATGCTTATATTCCTCCCATTTTACAAAGATCCCAACATTCCCAGCATCATGCTCAGGTATAAGAGATTACTCCTGTGTTCCCTGTGTGCACAGGTGAGGAGACTGCTAGCATTTACAGCAGCCCTTAATGCTCCACTGGAGCACATATGGGTTATATAAAGCACAAATAAAGTTGTGGCTATGCTGGGGGAATGCAGACCACTCTTTATTCCATAATCAAGCATCTTCAAGTCACAGGTTGGCTTGCTTGTGCTCCTGGAGGCAGATTACCTACTCTGGGCAAAATGCCAACAGCTCCCCCCTCTGTACAGATCTGGGGTTATACAGGGTTCACATCAAGTATCATTAAAAAGCAACCCTTCTATGGCCAATATTCAGCTGGTTACAAGCCAAGAAGTGGAGATTTCTTTTCTGCCTCATTTTGGAATGCTGAGGCTTGTTTTCAGAGACATTTACAATTCACATCTTGCTCAGAGAAGGGTTAAGTTTTGGGGGGTTTGGCCTTAACAATTTTCCTTCAAATGAACAACAGATTCAGTGCCTTTCTTTGGGTTACTCCTGAATGGCCCTAGCGCATACACTTCTGTGGGACACATATGTGATGGAACAGTGATTCCAATATTTCTAGTATGGCTGGGGAGGAAGGGGAATTCTAGCCAAAGCATAAAGAGTTGCCAGAAAGGAAATGGTGCTTTTGAAAAGCTCACAATGTACAGCATAAGTCTCTTTAGGAGGGACAAAGTCCCACAGTGCTTGGAGTGCTAGTAATGTTAGCATTAGTCCTCTAGGAAGCATCTCAGAAAAGCAATAATTTAAGGCAGACCTTCTGTGTTGCTTCTCCCTGTCCTGAAGCTGGGCAGCCTCCTGCTTCTGTAGGTCCACCTGTGCACTGAGCAACTCCATGGTGTCTTTTAAAAGTGAATTCTCTTTCTTGAGCCCGGAAATCTCATTCTGACATTTCTCCAGGTCATCGTTAAGAGATTTGATCTGGTTCTGGCTATTTCCTTCCTAAGGAAAAGGTGCAAATTAGCATTATTTATCCTCTGGTTAAATGTTAAGAAGCTATCCACAGAGCTGTGCATAGAGTAGATTTTTGGTTCTCTGGCTTGAAACTTGACTTGGAACAAAACTTCTGGGTTGACCTGGAACAATTCTATTTTAGTTTTGCCAATGAGACAAATATCAGAAGATTTCATTTGTTTAAGAAAACTAAGTCTAAATTTCAAAACAAAGCATCCTTTCAAAATGAAAAATCAAAAAAACTTTATTTTGAAATTTTTAAAACAAAACAGTTTGACTTATCCCTACATTTTTCAGCAGAAACAATTCAACAAATATGACAAAGATTCTCATAGAATCATAGAAAAGTAGGGCTGGAAGGGACTTCAGGAGGTCATCTAGTTCAACCCCGTGCTCAAGACAAATTCATCCCTATTTAAACCGTCCTATGCAAGCATTTGCTAACCTATTCATAAAACTGTACAAGTAATCCTCTCCCACAACTACTAGACACAATGCTCTAAAATAACAAGAACTTACTAACTTGCTACAGGTAAAACTAGGGGATGAGACCACTGTCAATGTCCTACTGCTGCAGGAACAGGGAGTAGTTTGTTAAGATAGACTTGAGAGATTCAAGGAACAGAACTATCTTCCTCCACTACAGAGGAAAGCAATACCAGTCTGATCACAGAGTAAAGATATTTCCTGATCCTAAATGTGGCAATTGGTCTGACTGTGAATAAAGGAGCAAGACACTCTAGCCAGGAAAATTCAAGTTTTAGCTACAGCACAAGTATCAGCACACCCCAGTCAAATTCTCCAGCTTTGGCTCTAGGCAAAACCTAATGCTTCTGAGGAAAGTGGAAAAAAATCCTGACACCTGTAACACAATTCCTTCCTGGCCTCATGTCAAATTGACTATGCTTATGTCATTTTAATTGGAAAAAAATTGCCAATTTTTTTTTCCACTTGCAGTTATCACAGGATTGGGATTGGTTACTGTGATGGACAACCTAATGATGACAAACAAGAAATACAAAGATTATAATATAACACATAGATGTTATTAACATAATTTTCATATCTGAAACTTTTCTCTGTTCCTACCTAAATAACAGAAATAAAATAAGCCCACCAGAGACAAGAGCCAAAACAACCAAAAAATTTAGAAAGATATTGGAAATATTTCCAGTAAAAAAAGTGCAGTGACTAGGTTTTGTTTCAAAGTGCAGGAAACCTGCACTGCATGAATGCAAGCAACAGAACAAAACTGGGAACGAATTGTTATAACTTGGAATGAGATGTTATAATTGCTTATCAAGTCTTTGGGTTCCAAAGCATATATGCACATGCATGTGCACACACCCATGCAGGCCACATAGTGCATTTACATACACATGCATATATACACGTACACAGAGGCCAACATTTTCAAACTTCAATACTTGAAGTTAGGTACTTGATTCATGTTTAGGCACCCACCAATAACGAACAGTATCTGGCCTGATTTTTAGAGATGCTGGTGCCCAGCATCTCTAATTGAAATGAGTGGGGCTCTAGAGTGCTCAACTTCTGCTACTTATTTTAGGTACCCAAACTTGAACACTTTAGACCCACTGTATACAAGAAGAAATAAGGAAAAGCACTGCAACAATATGGAGCTCTCTACAATATCAAACCCTGACTAGAAGACAGCCCCTGATTACAAGTTTTCCATAGTATATAAAAGCACAACCACACAGGTCCTTGGTTATAGGGAAGGAAACCCCTTCTGCTTCTATACAGGGAGCACCTTATGTAAAAACTAAACCAGAATTTTTACCATCTAGTAGTACTACTGAATGTTAACAAAGTAAGACTAGGAAGCTTGCCTGGTGCTGCTTTAGGGACCATACATTCTTCAGCTCCATCTGTAGGTCTTCTATTTGTTTTCTGTGACTGGCACAGGACTCCTGTTGCTCAGAAAGATCCATCCTCAGAGATTCTAGCCACAACAAAACCACATATCAAGGTGTGAAGAAGGTAACAGGGTAATGCAAGGAAAAAACAATAAATCCCAAGGAGCAGGGAGACAATAACGTACCAATTTTTTCCTTGGTGCTCAATTTTGCAATCATTTAGTCCACTAAATCAATAGGAAAAGAGGGAAATACCCCACATATTCTATAAAACTCTCCTGCCAATAGTAAAGCAACAACAAAGACTTGATAAATGGATTAAATGGTGACATTCTATGGCCTTTGTAACGCAGAGAGTCAGACCGGACACACACAGTGGTCTGTTCTGTCCGTAAAATCAATTGGGGCACTGGAGGTGCACAAAAGAGTGTAAAGGATCCAAACAGCTGTTTCAAACAGCCCTATACAAATTCTCTTGAGTACCTTCCCATAGGAGGCGTACTGGTAGCAGGACATGAGGTAACATGCCTTTCTCTCTGAATGTCACAAACATTTTTATCAGGAGGCAAAGCACAGAATCCTTCCCATGAACTTAAATAGTAAATGTTGTTAAACTCTCTGACACCTGGCCAGCTAACTCAACTCAAAAACCAAAGGCACTTATTAGTGGACAGAATCAGGCCTGTTCTTTGTTCTACTTGATATCAAGAGGAACAGTAAGAGATACCTCTGGGTATACTATACCAAAACAAAGTCAACCAGATGTGTAAATCAATGACTATACCCTTGAAATACAGGAAGCATTCATCTAAAACATGTCATTATATTTTCTGAGTCCATATATTCTGGCCTTGGTATTCCACTTCCTGGTCAGACAGAGGGGAAAATAACCCCACTCTTCTGTGCCACAGCACCATGTAAATCACACCAGTTAGAACTGGTTGAGATTAAAATCATTACAAAAAAAGTCTAAAATGTAAATCAGAGCATCCAAGATTTTCTGAAAGGTGGGCTGCTCTGACAGCCTGCCAGGAGTCTAAGGGCTATGGGCTATTTTCAGAAAGTAGAGCCAAGTTAAGTCCCTTTGTCCTGAGGTGTTGCTGACAGACTACATATGCCAGCATGAAATGTGTTATCTGGATTTGAGCCTTTTGGAGATCTTTAGTTTTAACAAATTATTGTAAATCGGATTAAGGGAGCAATTAACTAATATTGCCAAACTGATACACTTGACCCAAAGCTGATCGTTCTTAATGTAAACACAACATGGGACATCTCTAAGGCTCCCTTTACACATGAAACTAAAGGTGCACTGGGATCTAACGTGCAATGTGACAGGCCCCCCATCCACTTACTGCTGCACAGTCATCCTCATAGATGAGCTGGGGGCAAGCTGGTTGGCACCCTGTGGCCAAAAGGCATGCTGCCAGTTGGTCTGGCACCCAAAGGCTCTAGGCTTAAAGGATGCCCAAAAGTGGAACCCAGGGATTAGAGAAAGGGAAAAAACTGGTGATGAAGCCGAAACCTCTCCCCACAGCTGGAAGTGATGCAGCGCTGCCAGCCCAGTCTGAAAAGCCAGAAGGAACAGCACGGGCTCAAGGCACCAACAGGTGCCAACAGAGCACCTGGAGGCCAATCCCTCTACCAGTAGGGAACTGGTAACTCTCCCCAGAGCCAAAATCCCTGAAAAAAGGGGTGAATTCTAGGTTGTCCAGGTGGACCTAGACATAGATTTCATAGACATTAAGGCTGGAAGGGATCTCGGAAGATCATCGAGTCCAGCCTCCAACCCAAAGGGTAGGAAAGTCAGCTGGGGTCATAGGATCCCAGCAAGATAAGCATCCAATTTGCTCTTGAAGGCGTTCAATGTAGGTACTTGAACCACCTCCAATGGCAGGCTGTTCCAGACCTCGGGGGCTCAGACAGTAAAGAAATTCTTCCTTATGTCCAGCCTGAAACAGTCTTGTAGTAGTTTATGACTGTTCGACCTCATCAACCCTTGGGGTGCTCTGGTGAACAAACGTTCCCCCAGATACTGGTGGTCACCCCTGATAAACTTATAGGTGGCCACCAGATCACCCCTGAACCTGTGCTTTTCCAGGCGAAAGAGCCCC